TTAGTTGTTGTTTTTTTTTTTCGATTATTGGTGTCAGCAGATAAACAAAAAAATCTTTAGATACTTACTGGCAGCCATATCATTGTGTTTGCTGTAGACCGATGTTAGCACTCTCCCTTTTGAGTTTTGGGAAGTTGGTGAAAAAGTTGGTTTCCCATACATCCTGCTGAAAACATATGCTGGAATTTCCTGTAGAATAGAATAGAATTTTACATTCATACATCACACATATTCTTTGTTTTGATATCGGCATTATATATCGGACATCAGCAGCCCTGTTTTCTAAATATTGTTTAGTGAAAAGCCCATATCAGTCGACAATATCGGTTGTAAATCTGAGCACACTAGACTCAACAAAACTCACAGCTTAACGGACTGGTTTTGGCTGCTTGAGGAAGAAGGATATCTGTTCACTGTGGTATTGCATGTTCCCAGCATCATATATGTGGGATCTGACTCTCTTATCCCTGATTCACAAGGAAACAAAGTGAAAGAAAGCCCCTCTCAGTGCAGTCAGACCTGCAGGTTTTTCGTCACTCCCTACATCAACAGCAATCTTACAGGTCCCACTAAAATGCCTGCAACCTGTTTTTTTTGTTTGTTTGTTCTTGTATACCTTAAATATAAGCTGAATTAAATTTTGAAGAAACTGAAAGGAATACATTTAACATAATAGTACCTTTAATTGTATTTATCTATATATTTTTTTGAGAATCAGCAGAGTGCCTATTGGCTTTTATTTTGAGTGACTGAGAATGGGTCTGTATTATTGAACTTGATAGAATTTCTCTAAACTTGTTGAAACGGTTAATTGTTATATGGTGGCTCAAACCTGACTGTGCCAGGTGGTTTGTTACACATAACCATCTTGGAAGTCATTGTTGGAAACTGGCAGGCAATACTCTGCAGGTGATTGGATGAACCATCTGTCTATCTTGGTCAAACTTAAACCAGTCAACCATAAAGCAAGTCAGTGTGGAGAAGAGCGAAAACATCTTTTCCATGGAGAAAAGCCTTCGGTGCTGTTCTTTGCCCTTCTTTTGCTCTAGCAGCATCTACACTAACCTCTTTAGCAGCCGTCATTGTTGTTTAACAAACCGTGTCTTCTCCCTGTTTCACACTTGGTGCCCACCCCATAGCTATCAGTACTTCCTCAAAGGACCCTGACATTGGTCTGCTACCACTATAGATGCTACCACTATAGATTAAAGCCTGGTAAGATGGATTCTTGTGTGATTTTGTGATCTTGCAAGTCCAGCTGTGTTGCAAGGTTAGGATGGCTCGGGGTGTCATGACAAGAAAACAAAGTCCTTTGATGGGGTGCTGTGGGCTAAAACAGTGGTTCCCAACTTGGGGGTTGGGACCCCCATTTTAGGGGTCACCAAAGCTTTACAGGAGGGCGCAAGGCTTTCTTGATTTTTTTGGGAGTAAGAAATCTAAAAAAATATACACAGTAGGCCTATGTCTCTGCATTTCGTCTTTGAAGAAAATTAAATTAAATTTGTGTCGATAAAATGTTTCATTATATGTTATTATATATAGTTAAAACAC